GGAACCCCCACCCTGCAGCCAGCCCAAAGCCACCGTCATGTGTTGGCACCTCCCAGCTCCTCTGACGGCAGCACCGTGCTCTGTGTGACCACAGGAACCCAGCTTTGGCAAGTGCTGTGGCTCACAAGAGGGTGGAGTCAATCATCACAACAGCCCTTCCAGCCTTAAAAATGTAGGAAGCCTTTGATGTGCAGGCAGGATGCCTTGCAGATAAACCGCGTGTGGTGTAGGGCTTGTGCTGGAGCACCAGCCCCAGGAAGCACAGAAAATGTAGAAACTCAGAGTAAAATTGCCCATCGTCCTGGCCCTGGCCCTGCAGGCACCGAGTCTGTGTCCCCAACCCTGCACCTTGGTCAGCCCAGAGCCCCCTGTGGGAGTGAAGCCACAAGGCACAGTCACAGAGCACGTGGCTTTGATGTGACCTTTCCTTCAGTGTTTATGTGGTCTCCAAACCCGTTTTTCTGTTCAGGAGAGATCAGATTAAAGGGAGTTGCCAGCCCTCAGTGCATCCTGGGCTGGGGTGGTGGGAGCTGGGAGCAGAGGGCTGGGTGGCTTCTCAGCCCTCGTCCCCCTGCATGCACTGAGGCAGTTCTTACATCCCTGTGCTCATACAACCCTGGCGAGATTCCAGAGAGACGTCCTTATTTATGGATCCTGCATGAACTGCACACCGCGAGTCACTCACACAAACTTGCAGGGAGCAGCTGACCTGAATCCATATTAATGAGGCTCACAAGTCGTGGAGTGTTTTCTCTCATGCCTGTGGGATGGCAGGAACGCGCTGCCTTGTGGCACGCAGGGTTTAGACAAAAAGCCGTCTATAGCCTGTCACATTTTGGAGCCCGTTTGCCTTGGAGATGAGCCCGGGCTGCCCTGCTGTGGTGCCACGCTGCCTCTGCCCCGGGACAGACCTGGGGAGATGAGGAGCCATGGCTCCCTGCACGCTGGAGCCAGGGAAGGGCCGGGCTGGCTTTGGGGTTTCACAGCCCCGGTGTGTGATGCTGCTGGGAAGTGTGGGATCTGGTCCCACAGAGGAGCATTTCTCCTGGGCAGGGACACCTCAGCCTCTGCAGCCACTGCCCGGCTGCTTCCACAGCAGTTACAGGGAGGCACACACTCTTCCCAGCTGGGAAACCTGGGGGACAGTCCAGCTCTGGTCTTCCTGCACTCTGGTCTCATGCTGGGATGAAAGCCTTTGCAGATCCGGCAGTAATCCAGGGGACTTGGGGCTGCTCTTGCTGTTAAAGGACCACTCATGGTGTCCAAACCCTCCACATCAGCGGTGGCAGCTCCCGCGGGAGGTTTTAGAGCCTTTCCTTTTACAGGGCTTTTTCTTTTTCCACAGGATTTATCCAGGTTCAATAGCAGGGATTCAGGGAGATAATAACGTACATTAACCAGGGCCTGGAAACTGCTTTGCAAACAAGATTGATCAAAGCAGCCCAGGATGGAGAACAAACCCTCCGGAATGTGCTTTGCAAAACACTTGCCAAAACAATTGAAACCTGGTAAAAAAATAACACATTGGGCAGCCCTGGGGGCTGTGCCAGGGAGGGCCCCAGCAGCCAGAGCAAGGGCTCTTGTGGATTTGATGAAGTGGCCAAAGCCCCCTTGGGATGGAGCAGCAGCCCTGCTCCAGGGTGCCCACACCCTCCATTCCACCCCAGAGGGGAATTAATAGAAGGTGCTTTACTGCTGCTGTTGTTTTTATTGATTATTGGCAAAGAGAGTGACTGATGGTGGAGTCTAGAGAAAGGACAGGAGCAGAGGTGCAGGAGACACGTGGGAGGAGAGAGGGAAGGAATTCCTGCAAGGACAGGAGATGAAGGTGACATTTCAGCCAGTGTCTGCTGTGGATCTGTGCTATAAAGTAAGTCAGTGTGCCACGTCCATGGCAGGGCAGAGCAGAAATAATGGGCTGAGTCATATCAAAGTGAGTTTAGGTTAAATAGGAACAATTTCCTGTGGGGGATATTTCTACAGAGGTACAGCATGGAAGTAGAGCTGGTGGAAGAAATGCTGCTACACTCACACTGTCAGCCCTGCATTTGGATCTCAGACCTCTGCATTTCTTGTGGCAGATGGGCATAAAGTGTGTGTTTTTTTAACTTGTAATCGCCTGGGATTGTAAACACATCCCAGGGGAAGCATGTGGCCACGGGGCAGGAGGAGCACAGCCTTAGATGGCAAACTGCTTCTCACGCCTTTTCCTGTGAATCTCTGGGAAGTGCTTTATATAGTCCACTCAGAGGAATTTATAAACAACTACCTTTTGTCACTCTTCAGGAATGCATCTCCCTCCTCAATCCTCCAAGCACTTTCTTTGTCAAGGCCACACTCCTTACACTGGAAGGAGCAGGACTGAGCCAGGCAGGAGCAGGGCTCCTCAGCTTCCTCTTGCTGCAGATGCTTTGGGAGGAGGCAGGATGTAACTGGGATAGGGTTACACTGGGATTATAGAGCAGCCACCAGCTCTGGAGCCAGCCCTGGGGACTGTAGACTGTCACCACTTGGGTTCAGGGCCACTCCTTGACACCTAGTCCCTTTGCTCCTAAAGGCAGCTGCCTCCTGCCCTGGGTTGAAGGTACCCACAGGCTGCTCCAGGACAGGAGGGAGACAAGTGCTGGTTCTGCACTGGGAAAACACCAGGAGGTCCACATGCTGTGACTCCTGGGGATGTCCTGTGCAGGGTTAAAAGTTTGACTTGATCCCCGTGGGTCTCATCCAACTCAGAGTATTCCGTGATGGGAGCCCTCGTGGCAAAGCCAGGGGCTTGCATAGACAGGATGAGCATCGCCCAGCAGCCTCTGGCCCTAAAACCTGCTGAGCCCCACAGCTGCCCTGCCTGAGCCCAGCCCTGAGAGCAGAGCACAAACCTCCCTGCGAGCGAGCGGCGGCTCCGCTCCAAGCTGTGCCCGCCCGGTCTGGAGAGCTCGTGAAGCACACACAGGGCTCAGATGTGCTGCCTCAACAGAGCCTCGGCACGGCTATAAATAGCCCAGCCAGGCGCGGAGCAGCGAACCTGAGCGCGGCCGGCTGCCCTGTGGGGACGCGTGGGGACGGCCGGCTCCTGTCTGCAGCACGGCCCTGGGGGCTGGCTCTGCTCGGGCAGGCCGAGACACTGTCACCTGCCCGGGCACGGCCCTGTCCCCCCGTGCTCCCACAGCTCCTTCAGCCTCAGTGCCGGGCACTGCAGTGCTCATTCATCCTCACTTCGCTTTCTGCGCCTGACTTCTCTCTTAAAGCAGCTCTGGACCCATTAAGGAACAGTAAATATTTTATTTGCTGTTGGAGTTCTGACCAGTGTCTCAGAGGCTACAAAGGTCACAGTAGGAAATATCTATTTCATTAGCAAACGGGATGGGCCCATCCTGGGGCTGCTGGCTCGCGGAGTGAACCCAGCCTGTCCCCTGGGTGCTGTTACCAGCTGGAAGCTTGTCTCCATTCAGCAATCAAGTCAGGGAGGTTTCAGGACCTGGAGTGGTTTTCTTGGTTCTCAAGGCTACGCAGGCAATTAAAACTGGTCTTATTAAGAGGCAGCTGAGCCCGGGCAGCGCTGTGTCCCTCTCACTGTTCAGGCACTGCAGCGTGGGAACGGGGACAGCACAGGCATCAGGATTTTCTGTTTTGCTGGGCTTTTCTTCAGGTAGCTCCTGCACAGGGCTTCTTGGCACTGCTGCTCAAGTGAAATGGAGCAACCAAAACGGGAGCTGGCTGGCGGCCAGCCCGGCAGCCGGGGGGGCAGGTGCGTGCCTGGAGCATGGCTATCGAGGGCAGGAGCCCCGTGGGGGACAGCCAGGTGGCTGAAGTGACAGGGTCACAGGCGTTTGAGGACCCCTGTGCAGGAGAGCCGAGCGTGCGAGGCACCGCGGTCACACCTGTGTGCCAGGGTCTGGCCGGGCTGCGTCCCTCACTGCTGGCCCCAGCACAGGCTGCTGGGAGCTCGTGAGTGAACAGAGGGGTTTCATTCTGCCCTCTCGGCTTTGCGTGTCTGTGGAACACTGCTTGTTCTCGGGGTGAATGGACGATGAAGCAAAAAACAGCCCCATGTCCCCCCAGCCTCTGGGTGCGCGGGGACAATTCTCGGCAGCGCAGTTTGGGATCCCAGGTTTGGGATTTTATCAGCTTTCCCACACAAAACAAGGCTGGCAGGAAAAGGGGCTGGCAGGATGCCCTGAGACATCCCAGGGGAAAAGCAGTAACTCCCACAGGATGTGGGGCTGGCAGTTTAGGGAAAGCTGGTGGTTCCCAGACTTTGCTGGGCATTCCCCAAGCTTTGCTCCCTGTAAGAAAACCCCAGGAAACACTGGAGCACTTTTGATGTGTTCAGGAGGGAGAAATGTGTCTGTGGAGATGCTGAGTCCTATGGGGGACACTGAGCACCTGCCTGCTGTGACCTGAAAACCTGGACATTTGGGGTATGTCTGCAGCTCCAGGGAACATGGGTCTGTCCCAAATGGGGTGCAAGCAGCCTCAGGGACTTTTCTCAAATCCTTCTCTCCCCTTAGTGCCTTCCACCTGTCTGTGCCACTGTGGGAGGACATCACAAGACTCAGGAGATCCATCAACACCATAGGTTGCAGATCTCAGGTGAAAGGTGCCACTGAGGTGCCAAGCTGCAACTCATCACCAAGACAGGACTATATTTGACTCAGGCTGAGCCCTCTGACCGAGAACACTGCTGTGTGACCCAACCCAGTGAGCTCGTCTTAGAAGGGTTCAGGCTCCCGCCGGGGATCGGAGTCCCCAAGGCAGAGCGGACCCCCGCAGAAGACCCCCTAGGGCAACAAAGGTCCCTCTAGGGATCAGCCGCTCCCGGGATCAGGCTGTTTCACGGGGATGGGGGGAGAAGGCGCGGAGCCCTCAGGCACCACCGGCCCCTCACACCCGCCCGGGCCCCTCACGGCCCCTCACGGCGCCCCCGCCCCCCCGGCCCCGCCCCGCCGCGCGCCGCCCCGCGGCATTGTGGGATGAAACAGGATGTAGGCTGCAGCGGGCGGGGCGGTATTTGAGAGCGGCGCGGCGCCGGGGCGCAGAGCGCGCGGGGCGCCGAGCGGAGCGGAGCGGGCTGAGGCAGCGCGGCCGGGCCTCCTCACACCTCCTTCTCCTCGGTGCCGTGCCTCGCCCTCCCGGGGTGGCCCTGTCACTGTGAAGGTGAGCGATGTCTCCGCTGGGATGTGGGGCTCCGAGCCTCGCCCCGACACCGGTCGCTCCGTGTGCGGGGTGGCGGCGGGGCCTCCCCGAGGGCGGAGGTCGCTGCCGTGGCCGGGCGCGACCGGCTGTTGGGGAGCGATGGGAACCCGCCCCTCCCTAGGGGGCCGCGCGGCTGCGGAGCCGGTCCCGCTCCAGGCAAGGTCACCGCGGCCTCGGGCGCCCCCGGAGCTCCCCCCGTGAAGGTCACGCAGGGCTCCGGCTCCCGGGAGCCCTGCGGGGGAAGGGGCTGTGCCGCACCCCCTCCCAGGGCCCTTTTGGGCCAAGGTGGTGGATGCGGTTCGTGCAGGGGGTGGGCCCCGTCCCCAGTCGCGAAATCCACTCTGTCCTGGTGGTGGAGCGGTGGGTGCTGGGCTTGGGCCCCGTTCCGAGCCGGGGGATCTGTGCTGCCCTGGCGGGGAAGTGATGGGTGCTCCCATCCTCGCGATCCGTGCTGCCCTCATGGGGGAGGTGGTGGATGCTGGGCTTCAGCCCCATCTCACTTCTAGGGTTCTGTCCTGCCCGGAGAGGGAAAGAGTGGTTACCAGGGGGCTTATGTCTCATGCTCTTCCCAAAGCCCCAGCTTGTCCTGCTGGAGTCCTGGGCTTCAATGTACAAGTAAGACTTACCCTACCCTGGTAAGAAGAGGGTAGGGTGCTGCCTTGGGCCTGATTCCCTTCCAGGGCCTCATGCTGCCCTGGAGTGGCAGCTGGGGCTGTGGTCTTCCTCCTCACAGACCACATCCTGCCCTTGGGGAGAAGGGGTGGCTGCTGGAGCTGCAATGTTACCCCTTCCTAGGCCCATCATGCCCTGAGATGAGTGCTGGGGCTTTGTGGCTTTCCTCAAAGAGGGCCAGATTGGGTGGCAAGACCCTGAGAGCACCTGTGATCCCGTGGTTTAGGGTTGTGCTGTGTCTGTGCTGCTGCTGCGGGCTGCCTCGTGGGGAGGGGTCCCTGTAACCCCCCAGGGAGTGAGCAGAGCCTGGGGCCCTGCTCTGGTGCTCAGGTGGGTGCAGGGTGTGACACTCCTGTGGCAGGTGCAGCAGCACAGCCACTGCCAGCCCCTATTGAGTTTGACCGTGGGGGATGCTGTGCCCTGGAGCAGTGCAGGGAAGGCCTCCTGGCCAGCGTGTGCAGCCCTGCTGAAGGATAATCATTTTTCCTCTGGCGCTGTCGCCCGCGGCAGCCCAGGCCTGCACTGGGATGCTCCTCACCTAGACAATGAGGAGGGAAGGTGCCTTTTGCAGGTCACACTGTGCCTGGTTATGCAATGGCAGGTGCCCTCTGAACTCTGTGAGCAGTGCAGGTGTGTGAAGGCCTGGTGTGTGTCAGGCCTTGCTTGCTCTCTTTCCCTAAAGAAGCTTTTCTGGAAGAATGACCCACAAGTGGATTTCTGTTGCTTCCTTCTTCCTGTGGACTGGACACCCAGAAGACTTTTCCAAGGGATGGTCAGATTCCTGGGTGGTGCATCCAGATCTCCAGGGCTGTTCTGAGCTGGGCCTTCTCTTCCCTCAGCTTCTGGGCTGCAGGCAAAGGCCTGCTGGCTGAAACCACGGCATGGAAAGGAGCAAACAGCCGGGAAGTGGCTCTCGCAGGGCTGTGATGGGGGCATGTGCTCTCTGTTGGCAGTGCAGCTCAGTTCCTGTCATTCCTCCTGATGCTCTTGGTGTGTGTTAATAGCAGTGCTCTATTAAACACTATATCTAAACTGTATAAATTAAGGTGGCAATAGAAGTCTTCAAGTGCAGGCAGAGGGAAGAATTGAAGTATTGTAATCAGAGGGCTGCAATTATGTAACCGGATTCTCTTTCTCTCTGGGTAGCAAGCTCCTTTAATTGCTGTAACAAAGCTACTCCTTCAGTTTTCTGGGGCTCTTCCAGGAAGTGATCATTGCAGCAGATTTTTTTCACTCCACAGCAGAGCTAAAAATGTGTAGTTTCACTGTTTCAAAACACACTTGGTAGTATCACTCAAGACTTAGAGTGCTGTAAAAGGATTTAGGAAACTTAATGGTGCTCTGCAGGCTTAATTGGAGGTACTCCTTGCCATTAAGAAGCTTATTCCCACAAAGTTTTAATGTGCTGGGGTAAGAGCTGCTGCAAGGTGAGCAGCTGGATCCCCAGGTAACGTGTACCTCCCCAGGCCTTGAGTGAGGAATGGGAATGAGGGCTGTGGTGCTCAGAGCAGGCCTGCATGGTGGGCCTTCTCCAGGGCTTGAAGAAATAGTGCAGTGTTGGGATCATGAAATCCCAGTTTCCTAGGATAATAGGAACTGTGCTGGACACCTCCCTGGAAAGGCCGTGTCAGATCTAATGGCTGCAGTGGCTGGTACAAGACAGTTTAATTTTGAGAGCAAAGGGGGCTCTCACCTCGCTCCAGGACAAGTCTGGGACTGCAGGAGCATGCTGGGTTTGGCACCTGTGTTGTGGTTCCCAGTTGAGGAGGGGGTAGGAGAGGGAGAGCTCTGCCAAGCTCTGTCTCTGTGGTGGGACCTGCTGCTCCTGCCCTGTTTCCAGGCTGCAGTGTGGTGGTAACCTGCTTCTGGCTCATCAGGCTGGCTCTGCCCCGTGGGAACAGCTCAAGGCTGGGTTTCACGGCAGAGCAGCAGGGAAGTGAAGGTGTGATGATGGCTGAATGTGGGACAAGGCTCCTTCCAGGCTAAACTAGCAGCAGGAGCTGTGACACCTGGGATGGGGTAGAATAAAAGCACTGCTGCTGTGAATGTGCTTCCTGAGCCTCTGTGTCCGTGGCACACAGTCTGGGATCTGTTGCTTGCAAGGCTCTGAGCAGGGGATGTTCCAAAACACTGGCACACCTAGATCCAAACTTGGTGTAGCCCACTGATGTGCAGGAGGGCTGTGGCTCTCTGCAGATCCCGTCTCCTCCCACACAGAAGCTTTTCCTGTGTGTGCTGATGCTGGACTACCTCTGATCTAACGTCCTGCCGGTGCTCCGGCTGTGAGGGGCACCTTGGCCTGGGGCTGCCGTAGACAACCCCAGGAACTCTCTGTGGCCATAGCTGGGGTTTGTGCTACCGCCTGGTGACGCAGCCTGCACAGAAAGGACAACCTCTGATGCACAGGAGGCGTCTCCTGTTGGGGAAGGGATTAAAGGAATCTATGTTCTGCCTTAGGTTCACCATGTCTGACAGAAAGGCTGTGATCAAGAATGCGGACATGTCCGAGGACATGCAGCAGGACGCTGTAGACTGTGCTACACAGGCCATGGAGAAGTACAACATAGAAAAGGACATTGCAGCATATATCAAGAAGGTAACTCCGGGATGAGGGTGCTGTGCTGGCTGCGACTTCCCAAAGCTCCTGAGTCTGTCAGGAGCTGAGTGGCTGAGGCTTCATGCTTGCGTGCTGGGAGGGAGAAGATACTTGGCTTCTTGGCTGCTTTACTGCTGTTTTCAAGAGGATGGAGTGACTTCTCCAAGGTCAGGGGAGGGCTGTGGCAGAGCTCTGGCAGGCTCTGAGCAAACTGCAAGTGCTGTCCCTCAGGATTTGCCAGCCTGGAAAGGGCTGGCAGCTGCCCCTGCTTAGGACTTGCTCCACAGACCTGCAGCACCAGTGCAGGTGGGATCAGCCCTCTGTTTCCCTTGGTGGGCAGCAGTGCAGGTGTGGTTCTGGGATGGGCCTTGTGCTGCCTGCTGGGGCTGTGGATCTGCTGTGTTAGAAACAGTGCAGGCAGCTGCCCTGGCTGGTGAAGAGCTTCTCTCCCCATTTGCAGGAGCCTGTTAATTGAGTCTCATGCTTGATGATGGCACCTGGGGAGCTGTTGGTTCCCCCTATGGCAGCTTCTCAGAATGGTCAGGAGAAGTGCTCTTGGAGGAGGGAAATCTTATTTCAGAGGCAGGGAAGCCCTGGCACCTGGGCTGGTGTTTGGGCCTTGCTTGTAATCTAAGCTTGAAGGCAAAGGATTCAAAGGTGTCTCCTGACTTCTCAGATCACTTTGAGGCATGACTTAGCTCTAAGTGCTCGGGGCAATGCAGCCTGTAAAGTGAGGGAGTGCAACAGAAGGCATCCAAAAAGAACTTGGCCTTTATTTCATGAGAGTGTGTTGGGAGGAGGGAAGCAATTTGATGCACCTTCGTGCTCTGGCAAGAAAGCCTCTTCCTCACTTCAAAGGTTACCTGCAAACAGCTCAAACTCTTCTGCTGTCTGAGAACTAGAACTGGCTTTAATCTTGGATGTTGAGTCTGTTCTTCTGGCTCTGTCTCAGGGGAGGGAAGGATGTTCTTGGGAGTCTTGTGTTAATTAGAGGGAGGAAAATGGTCTTTAACCCTATCCTGCCTGTGAAGTAGGAGAAGACTGTTGAACCAGGATTCAGCTTGCTTACCTCTGACCTCTTGGGTCTTTGCTCTTGGCCTGTGTATCTTCCTGCTCATTTTCAGCGTGGATTTTCTCCCCTTTGTGTACAAGAGTCCCAAATAGCAGAAGCCAGGCTTTTGTTCCTTCCTTTTTTTAGGTGACCTTTAAGCTCAGATGCCTTGCTGGAGCAGACATGCCAAAACCTTTTTTATTTTTTGTGAGTGGGTTTGGAATGGGAGAGAATTATTCCCCTGATTAGCCTACACACAGGGCTATACCAAGGAGAGCCCTTGCATCTGCTCCTCCTGCCCAGGGCTGATGGTGCTCCAAGGCTTAGAAGATGTTTTGCTTGTGTTGAATCCTTCAAACAATCCAGTGCAGAGGTTTGGTTGCTTAATTTAATAGTGTCTTGCAGTGGGGTATCTCAAGATGCTGCAGGTGGGACGAGAGGTGATAGTGTGTGAACAGAACCAGCTCAGAATTTGTGCTTAGAACTATTTTGATGTGGGCTTTCTTGGCCTTAATGCCTCTCTTCTCTTTCTTCAGGAATTTGACAAGAAATACAACCCAACTTGGCACTGCATTGTTGGCAGAAACTTTGGCAGCTATGTAACACATGAGACAAAGCACTTCATCTATTTTTACTTGGGTCAGGTTGCAATTCTTCTCTTCAAGTCTGGATAGGAAGTAGGAGCGATTGAAATTTGGACTGTAATGCACTGATGGCTGAAGCCACGACTCCCTCTAACATGGCTATGCCGCTGCATGGACTGTATACTATATTTAATGTGTATATGTTGCAGTAAAAATCTACATCTGTTTAGTTGCCTGGGAAGAAGGCGGCATTTTTTTGTTACTGCTTTTTTTGGTTGTATTGCACTAGGAAACCTGTAAATGCTTAAACAATGGCCTTTACGTGGGAAGAAATAAAACTATTCCACAGCAGCTCCCTCACTGGTAACTCCTTCTTTGAGGCTGGGAAAACTTTTTTGGGCAGGCCAAAAGCCCCAGACTTCCTTACTGAGTCCTGTTAGACTGTTAATCTTGCAAAGAGGAGCAAAGCCAGTGTGAGCCTCTGTCCCACCCTGCAGACTGTAGAGAGCTGGCTCTCCCAGTACCCTCGGGGCAGGTCCTAGACCTTCCCTGAAAGCTGGTGGGGTGGCTCTGGGTGACGTGGCTTCCACACCCAAGGTGATCTCCACCTTTGACTGTGATACAGGCTTGCAGCTGGCACCCCTTGGTGTTCTTGCTCAGTGCCCTTCGCTGTATTTTTGGCTCTGCTGAAACATTGACCTAGACTCGAGTAAGCAATTCAGCGTGGTCTAGAAGGCTTCAAAACCAGCCCCTGAGTTCCTGCTTGTTGCAGAAAGCAGCAATCCTGTGGCTGAAGTCTTTAGACCTCCATCCCGAGTCTGAAGCCACGTGGCCCGGCCCCGCAATGGAGTAGGATATCAAATTGGTGACTACTGACAACAGCTCGATTCGGCATGTTTGTAGCCAGTTGTCTCAACACTGCCTTAACTTGATGCTCTCCTTAAAGCAAGCTAGTCGTGTGGAAGACTTGTAAGTGGCCACTGTCTTTTTTTCTTTTTTTTTCTTTTCTTTCATTTTCTGTAGCTAATAAGCTATTTCCCTGTCTCTTTTTTTCTTTTTTTTTCTTTTCTTTTATTTTCTGTAGCTAATAAGCTATTTCTGGAGGATTGTCCTCTATGTTCTGATATCTGCTTTTGTTCTTAAAGCACAGTACCAAGAAGTTAAATTTACATGTGATGTTTGTGTGAAGGAAACTCATGTGACATCTGCTTCAAAGGCAGACAAATGTCTTGGTCTCCAATAGGTTCAGCAGTGATGTTGTCTTAGTACGTACTGACTTGGGATTACACTGCAGGAAGTTCTGACCTGGGTGTGCACAAATGCTGTGTGATGGCAAATAAATCCCTGGTGCTTGTTATAAGCTCTAATTACTGGTTTGCTGACTAATGCCTTGGCAATACCACTGGGCTGATGAGCCCAGCTTGTGTCTCTGAGATGAATTTGGTGTTGGGAATAAATCATTGCTGAGGGCAAAGGGCACAGTGAGGGGAGCTCTTTGTGAAATGATTTGGTGACCCAGGTTGATGACTTCCTGAAGTAAAAGTCCTTCTTGTCTCTGTGCAAAATCCAAAGTATGCCTAATTTTGTATTATGGATAGAACAATGTTGTAACTAGAAAGAATGTAGCTGTCATAAATTCATGTTGATGGAAATGTCTGCACTGGGATAATGTGCCTTGGACTGTCTGGGGCACTCGTGTGGTCTTGTCTCTTCAGAACTCCACTCTGGGTCTGAAAGGAGAATGTTTTGGGTTTGTTTTTTTCCAAGCATGAGTCTAATGTGAAATCTGTTCACAGTCTCTCGTGGAGCAAGATCTGTTCCCTTCATAACTGCAATTGCTCAAATACCATTTATTTTTTTTTCAAACATTAAAGGTGAATTGACACATTTAAACAGCCTCTGGTTTCTTCTTCCTTAGCAGCTTTCCTGAGCAAAGCCTGTCCTTGTCCAGAGAGGGTGAGCAGTGATTTCTCTGTCCTGGAAGATGCTGATGACCCAAAGAAGGCGAGGCAGGGAGGTAGAAATGACCAGAGGAGCTTAGGTGGCCCCTCTGTGCTGGTGCTGACCTCCAGCTCGGCTCAAAGGCTGAGCCAGAGGGGAGGCATTGAGGGAATTGTGTCCTGCTGCACCCTGATGGGATGCTCTGTGCCAGGTAACCTGGATCTCAATGGCTGGGAGCTGACCTCTTAATGGCTTCAGGCAGCCCGGGGGTGGTACAGCAGCTTCCTGCACGGGAAGGTGTCTCCCTGCTTCCCAGGAAAGCAGGTTTTCCCTTCAGTTCCTCCCTGTGCTGGAGGGAAAGCTGAGATCTGAATCTGATGTGTTTAAAGCCTCTCACGGCGCGGGGGCTGTGGGCTTGCCCTTAAACAACCCCCTCAGCTTGTTATCTTGCTCCCCATGCAGCCTAACTGCGGGGCTGTGGCCTGGGTGGTATTTTGGAAAAGCTGTGGGCTCTTGCCAAGCACGGCAGTGTAACAGCTCTGCTGTGGCACAGTAACAGCAGCGTGAGCAGCGTGACTCAGCCGCAGGCAGCAGCTCGGCTGTCACACACGGGCCATCTGCTGAGCCTGCACCTGCCACTGCCCCAGAGCAGGGGTGGTTTCTACTTTAGGGGAGCTGCCAGTGATGCTCTTTTCTCGGTAGTCCCAGCCTTTTAGGTGGAAGTGGAATTGCTGGTGCAATTTGAGTGCCAGCTGGGCTGTGCTGGGGCTCTGCATTCCAGGCCTGGCTCAGGCTGGGTTAATACTGGCTCCAAGGAAGTGTGCAGCCCTGTGGGGCTGGGCTGGTCAAGCCCCCTCTGTGCACAGGGCCCTCAGACAAAGCAAGAGGCAGAGAAACTGGATCTTGAACCCCAGCTGCAGTACAGGAGGCTGCTGATCCAAACCTCAGGTGAAATGCTTTTGTAGCCTGAGTTTCATCTGGGAAATCCCCATTTCAGCCATGTGTCCAGGGGCTGTGGTACTGCTGGAGATCCATCTCTGCTGGGATGGGGAGGCCCTGCCAGGGCTGGAGGATGGTGTGCCCTGGAGCTGACACACACCAGTGCAAAGCGGCCTTGGTGCTGCCTTGCATGGGTCTCTGCAGCAGGAGTCCTGCTTCAGGCTGAGGAGAGGAGCTGTTGCTCACATCTTCAGGAACTAGACAGTGAAACAGAGCAGTCTTTCCCCTAAACCATCTTCCTTGCAGCACTGGGGGCCTGGAAAACACAAACTGCCTGAATTTGAGCAGTGCTGAATTTGATCACAGAGCTGTGTCCCACTTACCCCCCTCCCACCCCCCAGCAGCTGACAAGGTCTTGGCTTTGACTTTTTCCATTGCTGGGCTCCACTTTGTCTCCAGTTTCCACCAGGGACAGGTGTCCTGGATGATGCCTCGGAGCATTAACTGTTTCCATGCTGGAGAAACCAACGGCATTCCCGGGATGGCTGCTCAGTTTCAAGCTGTTTGGAAACATCTGGATCTGGGACACGGACTGGAAGGTATGTATCTGCAGGGGGATCATCTGGAGAAAGAAACTGCTTCCAGATGTGTTTGGGAAAAATGCTATTGAAATGCAAACTCAGTTTATGTTGTGCTGCCTCACAAACACTCAAAGTGCCTGGGTGCAGGGGAGGGACTGAGGCTGCTGCTGTGGGTGAGCTCTGGCTGCAGATGTGCCTGCAGATGTGCATTAGCTGCAGGGAACCTTGTGGTTTGTGGCTGGTGAGAGTGTCACATTGTTTTCTCTCTTGCCATGCAAGTCATTCAATTCCTCATGTAGAGTATTTCTTCCAGATGTGGAAGTGCCTTACAAAAGCAGGGCTGTGTGGCACTGGAGAGCAGAGAGGCTGGGGAGCTGTGCTCTGTGGGTATCACACTGCCTGGGATCCACTCTTCTGCAGAATGAGCACTGTGTAGAGCCATGGGAGGTGTCAGTCCATCTCCCTGCCTGCCTGGCACCATGTTCTTCCCCTTCTCTGTGGCCACCTGGGACTCTGGAAAGGGACAAGTGGCAGCTAGGCCTGGGAGTTGCACACTGCTCCCGTGGGAACACCCAGGCTGCAGGTCAGGGCTGTCCTCTCCCAGCCAGCCTGCAGCATTGCTGCTGCAGTGTTGTGCTCCAGGCACGTGGAAGCAGAGCCTGTGGCTGCAAATCCCAGGACCCAACAGACCTGTTCTTCTCCCAGTGCTTTTGCAGGTGATTAGTGATGATGAGAGAGAACATGGAAATCATTTTTATTTCACTTTTCAGCCTCTGCTAGATAAATCCTGAGGAGGACAGTGGCACACAGTGAAGGAAGCAGGGCTGTGCCATCCCTGCCCACCCGAGGTTTCCCTCCTTTGTTCTATTTATTGAGCAAGGATCCTGACACCCTTTCCCAGACAGTGACTCACAGCAGCTCTGTCTGTGCAGAAGCCATGTGTCTTGGAGCACTTTGTAGATGCAGGAGCTGCAGGAGCCTCGCAGGAGCCAACTGTGTTTATTAAAAGATGATCAGATGTTTCCTTCCTTAAGGCAGTGTCTAGCTGAGGCTGAGTAATAACTCATTACCAACGAGACATAACTGCTTATCATCAGGTCAGTGCCTTTGCCAGCCCTTCTGGTAGTGGTGGCAGGTGCTCTGAGCACTGGTGGGCTCAGCACCCAGAACAGGGGGTAAGAACACCCCCTGCAGTCCCTGGGGCAGCCTGAGCAGCCCCAGGCTCTGCTCTGCTGCTCAGTGGGGTTTGGCCCTGGATGAAGCTCGAGGAGCAGCTTTATCCAGCCCTGGTGCAGCGTGTTCCCAGCTGCCTGTGGAATCAGGCTGCTGGAGTGGCCTTTGCATGCCACGTTGTTCCATCCTGGTGCTGGGGACTCAGAACCAGTGTGCCAGAGCTCCTTGTGGCCTGATGGAAAAAGCAGCAGTGGGCCAGGGCAGTGTGGAGAACATCCCAGGAGTGCTGTGGGGCCATGGCTGAGGTGGGATGTCATGGTCCCCCATGTCCCCTGTCCCCACATGCCCTGTGCTGACAGAGCTGGGCTGGGGAGAGGCAGAGCAGGGCCAGCTCTGCTCCCTGGGGCCAGGGCCCTCCTGGGCTGGCTCAGAGGCTTTCCTCAGACGCCATCCTCTGGTGCAGCCGCCGCGGTCCTTCCCTGCCAGCTGCCATGGCATCTCTCCATGTCCTTTGTTCCCTGCCTTGCTCACGCCTCTGCCATGATTTATGGCCCTTGCGGAGCAGCCTGCCTGCGGCTCGGCTGCTTGTCCAGGCCCCTGGGCTCCGTGCCCTCGCTCCCAGCCTGGGGCAGGAGCTCTTGGGGAGTGCTCTGACCCCCCTGCATTCGGCCCCCTTGCATTGAACCACGTGCGTGGCATTTTCTTTCACCTCCTTCCAGCCTGGGTGTGAATGAAGTGCTTTCAGGGGGAGGAGGTTGTTGGGAGCCCAGCTCTGCCTGTGCATTGGTAGCAGCCCATGAAAGCATCCCAGGAATTCGCCTCGGCGGCCCTGTGCGGGTGAGGCAGTGAAAGACACCCTTTGTTCCTGCAGCCCAGTCCCACACACCCTCCCGGCTGGAATCTGCAGAGCTGGACGTGTGCTCCCACTGCCTGCCACGCTGCACTCGGGCCCTGGGGAAGAGGTTTTCCCACGTCTTAGCCCGGCCAGGGTGAGCAGGGCACTGCAGAAAGGCTCGGTAAAGCCTGGGGAAGCCTGGCCTGTGACCCCTGCTGCTGAGCTGAGTCAGAGGGACGGAAATCCCTTGTGGCAGGGCTCCCCCTCCCCGCGGGGTTTGATTACAGCTTCGGGGTGTGATCCCTGCTGCCTGCCCGGCCGCGGGGCCATCCGGCGGGGAGGGCCGGGGGCTGACACGGAGCCAGGCCGGGCCTCGCCGCAGCCTGCACACAGCCCGCTGGCAGCCGGCCCAGAACATGGCTCTGGAAAAAAAGAAATGCCTTTGTTGTTGTTGAGGAAAGCCCAGAACGCTCCGACAAGGACACAACCTCTTCCTAAAGCTGGGTTTGAAAGCCCTGCTTTCTCAGAGGGTTCAAAGTCATCTGCTTCTCTGTGGGTCAGCCCGGCTGGAGCAAACCCTGACCCACCTTGCAAGGGCTCCCTCTGAAACCACAGCTTGCAGGGGCACTGAGGGATGGCACCCATGCAGCCCCTTCCAGAAGGGTGCCCACCCAGGGGTGCTGCTGGGGAGCCCCTGGAGCTTTCCTGGGCTGTCATTAGCAGAAGAAAAGCTTTGTGTGACTCAGCAAGGGGGTGCCAGATCAGGGCTCTGTCCTGGGCAAGACTGACACATGCAGTTCAGGCAGAGCCTGGGCTGGCTAAAGATACCGTGGTACTTAAATATTTTATAGAAAATCATTAAGCAATTAAATCTGGTGGATCTCACATCATAGAAAAGCAGCTTGAATCCTGTGCAGTAAACAGGGCAATGCTTCCTGCTCATTTGGGATGTCTTCTTGTAGTCTTAACTACAATCCTTGCTTCAAAATAACTATAATTATCTCTTAATTGCCATTATTGTTTAACATTTTTAGTATTTGCAAGTGCAAACTGTTACAGTTTTCAGTGCAGATACAATCAGTAGCCGGGGCTCACAATGAAAGCAATTAAAATCCTGTGATTATCACAAGGCTGCGTGTCTCTACACCAGCTTCAATCTGCATCACTTGCCAAGATGTAGGCTAGAAACTCAGACAAATTTAGCATTTATTTAGTAACCCAGCAAAGCTACTACCCCTTGCTGCCTCCAATGATTTGCATCTACGGCACTTTTTGGAAGGACGGGAGCAGGGAGGGGAGGGGAAAGAAAGCAGTTTCTAGAATACATCCTGGGAGAATATACAGCAAGAAAAATTATGCACATGAATTATGCATCTGAATTATGATTTCACTCCTATTTTTGTCCGGATTAGCTCATGTTTGGTGTGCATCCCTGGCAGGGTGCTAGCAGAGTGTGCTCCAGCTCCCAGCAGGTCACTGCGGCTCCGGGTCCTGTGCTCCAGCTCCACTGGCAGCTGCTTCCCGAGGGCTCCCGGAGCTTCCTGGGGATCCAGCCCCCAGCAACGATGGCAGCCCCTGCTCCTGCACCCCTCACAGGCTGGGCAAGTGGTTTTTCTGTGTTAATTGAAAGCCTCTCTTCTGTAAACACACAAGGGATGACAACGGATTTGGGTGTAAACTAAAAAAGCAGGTCTGCGCTATTTTGTACAGAGGGGGAGGTGTTTGGAGGCTGTGCTGCCACCAGCCAGCCTTCAATGGTGTCCCCTGGGTCCCCAGCATCTCCTGGGGAAGGCAGACATGGAAACATCTTGGTCTCTGCCAGCTGTGGGGAGATAAACCCAGGAGACAAGGGGAAGGCAGTAGCAGGGCTTCCAAAGTCTCACCAGATGCAACTGCAATCCCAGCACACAGTCAAGTAAAGCCAGCAATCCTTCCAGGAAAAACTGCTTGGGAATCCTCAGCTCCCTTCCCGGGAGGGCTGGTGACCCCAGGCCATGGATGTTTCCATCTGTAAGGAATTTCAGGGGCCCTCATTGCCATTAGGGAGGGAATTATCCTCACTGGCCAAGTCAGCAGGGCACCTGCAGCCAGGTGTGGTCCAGGCTGGGGTGGGTGTGAGCACAGGGCACCTTCCTCTGATGGGGCACGTGGGGGGGCTTGAGGGGCTGTCAGTGTCCCCTGGCTGGGTTCTTCCCTCACCAAACTGCATGTCCCATCTGCTGCTGCCTTGGATTAACATCCCTGACATCCCAGCAGTTGTTTGCATGAGAAAATGAGATTAGGAAAGTATTTCAAGTATTTGTGTCTGTTGTTCAGTGGCAAACAAGGCTGGAGCCAGGGCTGTTTGTCCCGTCAGCTGGCCCAGAGCTTGGGAAAACAGCTGGGAAGGCAGTGGGAGACACCCAGCCAAGCACCAGGGGCTCAGTTTGCACATGCCTTTGGAGAGTGGGGAAAGTGGAGCTGGGGCAGGCAGAGGCTGAATCCCCTTGCCAGGGATGGGGTACCTGCATGTGCACCTTTGTGGGTACCCCTGGGATACCCCAGAGGATTGGGAATTTTCTACATGCAGGTGTTTCCCATCTGCTTTGAAATGCTGCTGGTAGGAGGTGAAAAGTCAGTAAATTTGGGCAGTCACAAGAAAGAGGAGCAAAGGCAGAATTAATGGAAAAAGGCATCTTGGAAAGCCTGGGCTTGAAACCCCTGAAACTGCCTGCTGAGCTTTGGGCTAGTTGTGCTCCCAGAGTGATCAGGTTAAGATGAACTCTCCAGTTTGCATTTTGGAGGAAGGACACAGCTGGTAAGGCAGAGGCAAGGAGGAGGCCAGGAGAGCTGCAGCAGCTCCAGGCCACCGTGTTTTCAGGCTCAGCAGGTCCCTGCCACCTCCTGGAGCTCTCCTGTGGCTCCTGTTCACTTTGGTTTCCCCGTGGCAGCTGTCACTATCCCTGCATTGTCAAACCACCTGCCTGAGTTTCAAGGAAGTCATCCATCTATTCAACAGGAATATCAGAGTCCAGGAGCCTGGGGGGACCCTGAGATCACAATACAGGGATTCTGCTGGGCTCTGCTCCCCCCACCAGGGCTGCAGCTCCTCTTGGATGGGGTGCAGGGAGCTGGGGCTTGATTAAACTTCCCCTGGTCCTTTTGGGGCTCAGGTGTCCTGGGACAGGCCCCCATTCCAGCTGCTGGATCCAGCCCAAGCATGCAGCACAGGGAGGACATTTCCTCCACATTTTTAAGCCAGAAGTGGCTCTTGAAATCAATACAAAAGGAGATTCCTCTGCAGCCTAGGGAACCACCCTGTCCACATTCTTCCCTGAGGCCTTCAAAGGAGCTGAGGAATCTAATTCCCACTAATTTGCTTTGAAAACACCAACTTAAAATTGTAATTATGGCCCGGTGTCTTACTGCCGAGGGGAGACCCCAGCAGACTGCAGCTTCCTTGCTTCCCTAAGACATCAGTTTTGATGATTTATTAAGACTTACATTTTTAACAATATGATGTTGGTTAATGTTGGAAGATGTTCCTACAATTAATGAAAATTTCATAGACTGACTGGAGAAGAAAGGGACCATTTTATGTCCCCTACCAGATGGCCTAGACCAGCTGCTCACTTTTTTCTTTGAACTGTGATTCTAATGACTTCTCTGTCCTTTGAAGTCTGCTTAGAGCTGCTGAACCAGATGGATTTGCATGATAGTAGCAGTGCACGTTTAACAGTGGAGGACTTGTGCTATTTTCCCTCCTGGTCACTGCTGAATGCTGCAGTTGGGGGATTTGGAGGGGTGAGTAAAGCCAGAATACTGCCAGGCACTGGCAAAATGTGACTTGGTGACATCACAGTGGAGTTATCCCCAAACCCACAGTGTCCTTACCCAGCTCTCAGCTGGTTTTGTTGTTTTACAGCCCATGGGATGCTGTCAGTCATGGATTTATTGGGGCCTCACAAAGCAGGAGCCGCTGTCAGAACGCACATTTCAGCACCATTTAAAAAAGGAGAGGAAAAGAAGAAAGAGTTTTAAATATGTATTAAGTTTTGAAAATAATAAATAATAAAATAAAATGGTGACAAAATAAACAAAACTGAAGAAGGTCCTTGAGTGTGGGCTTGGTAGGAATTTATGCAGAGCAGAGAAGTTGGGGGGGCAACACTGACATTCCTGGGTTTGAAATCTCAAATCAATAATGAAGGAGGCCACGTCACTTTCTCACACTGCCTCCCAGAGCACTCACAGGATCTCGAGCAGCTGCTCTCCCTGGAGCAATGTCCGGGCTGGGCTGGCACAGAGCTCTCTCAAACCTCTCAGGACTCTGATGATCCTTGTGGGTCCCTTCCAACACAGGATATTCTGTCATTCTATGAAAATCATCCCTGCACAGTAACAGCGTGCCTGGGGCTGTCTCTGCGCTGTGTTTGCCTGTGCAGGAACAAACAGCACAGGACAAATGGAACGATAAAGGGAAGGAGCAGAGCAATTACCCAGAACCTGCCAGCCCCGGGCACAGAAGGACACCAGGGCCACGGCACTGGTGGCACAGAACGTACTTTCCTTACTCAAGGTGGTCAGTGTGATAAGGAAATGGAAGGAGGTGAACCAGAGGTAAGGCTTTGCCTGGATGTGGCATGGAAAGCAGCGTGTCCTGCCCTGGAGCCCTCCTGCTCCTTCCCAGTGATGTGGGTCCGGCGTTGGCAGCAGTCCGTGTGAGCAAGGCACAGCACTGGGCTGAGCCCTGCTGGAGTCCCTGTCCCCATCTCCCGGGGCTTTCCAGGCTTGGCTCTCCCCCGATCCTGCTCACAGGGCATGGGGGGAGCCCAGCCGGTAATCTGATGTTGCCCATCAGTGAGATGTCACTGCAGACGCCATCCCCTGAAGGGCAGCGGTTCCTGTTCCCGGCCGCTGGTCGCAGTGTCCCCAGTGCCCTGTGGTGGCAGAACCCTCTCCGTGTGCCTGGCCTGGGTACGGCAGAGCTGGGACAGGGCTGTGCCACGGGAGCAGCCCCTCACAGCTCAGCAGCCCTCAGTTTGGCTTACAGCCCTCACACCCTCCACACCGCCAGCGGCTCAGCCTGGACACCGGGAAAACTCCACGGAACACGCTCTCCACCCCGGCACAGGCAGAGTCCCCATCCCGGGGGGATTTAAAAGCCGCGTGGCCGTGGCACTCGGGGACACGGGTCAGTGACGGCCTGGGCAGCGCCGCGTTGCTCTCCAGGGGCTGTCCCCGCCGGGTGACCCTGCGGTGGGAGCCTTGCTGTTGGTCCCAGAGCGGGCGGGCCCCGCCACCTGCCGCGGGCGCTGCCCGGCCCGGCCCGGCCCCAGCGCGGCCGGGGGGCCCGAGCCCGCGGCCGCGCCCGGCGCGCAGGTACCGCGGCGTGGGGCACGGGCAGCGCGGCTGAGTGCGGGCGGGGAGGAGGAGAGGAGGAGGAGGAGGAGGCGCGGCCGCGCGGCGGCCGCTGTGGGCACGGCGTGGTGCGGCTGTGCCCAGCCCCTGTGTGCCCCTTTCTGCCCCCTGTGCCCAGCCCTGTGCTCCGCTGTGTCCCCTGTGCCCAGCCCCTCTGTGCCCAGCCCCTGTGTCCCCTGTGCCCAGCCCCGTGCCCCTCTGTGTCCCCTGTGCCCAACCCCGTGCCCCTCTGTGTCACCTGTGCCCAGCTCCGTGTCCCGCTGTGCCCCCTGTGCCCAACCCCGTGCCCTGCTATGCCCAGCCCTGTGTCCCACCGTGCCCAGCCCCTCTGTGCCCCCCTGTGCCCAGCCCTGTGTTCCCTGTGCCCCCATGTCCTGCTGTGCCCAGCCCCGTGCCCTGCTGTGCCCAGTCCCTCTGTGCCCAGCCCCTGTGTGCCCCTTTCTGCCCCCTGTGCCCAGCCCCGTGTCCCGCTGTGCCCAGCCCCTCTGTGCCCGCTGTGCCCAGCCCTGTGTTCCCTGTGCCCCCTGTGCCCCCATGTCCTGCTGTTCCCAGCCCCGTGCCCTGCTATGCCCAGCCCCGTGACCCCCTGGGTCCAGCCCTGTGCCCCGCTGTGTCCCCTGTGCCCAGCCCCGTGCCCTGCTGTGTCCCCTGTGCCCAGCCCTGTGCCCTGCTGTGCCCAGCCCCGTGTCCCACTGTGCCCAGCCCCTCTGTGCCCGCTGTGCCCAGCCCGTGCCCAGCCCATGCCCTGCTGTGCCCAGCCTGCGTCCCGCGGTGCCCAGCCTGTGTCCTGCTGTGCCCAGCCTGTGTCCCGCGGTGCCCAGCCCTGTGTCCCCTGTGCCCAGCCCCTCTGTGCCCGCTGTGCCCAGCCCCGTGTCCCTCTGTGCCCAGCCCCTCTGTGCCCGCGGTGCCCAGCCCCGTGTCCCGTCCCTCGGCACTCCCGGCGGTTCCAGCCCTCGTTCCCCACCGCGGGCAGGATGTTCCCTCTGCCCACCTTCCCTTCCCATCTCCTCGGTGCTCTGGGCTCTGCTGCCCGGTGCCGAAGCGCTGCCGGGTGGAGATGTGGGTGGCACCACTGGGTAGGACTCGGCAATTTTCGTGGTCTGATGCTGGAAAAATAGTATTTTTTGAAGCCTTAAAGCAAGCCCTTCAAAGCTGAGTGCTCTAGATGAGCAGCGTGGATGCTGCTCCATTGGTGGCACACAGTGCTTCATTATTACACTGCTTTGTCTTCATTTCATTTCCAAAGCAGGCTTAATTTGCACTTTGGAATTAACTAATTATTGGACAGTACTCTTCTGTTCTTGATTTAACTTGGTATATTTTTCTTGAGCCATTATTGGTGTCTTTGTAGTCCCTAAATAATAAACTGAGGCTTTCTCTTCCAGGATGTTTGTGCTGTGCTTGTCCAAGCCTGTCAGTTGGTTCCCCTTGATCAGGAACATCTTGTCAGCAAACTCTGCCAGCTTATCCATCACTTACTCAACAGATATCAGGTAGGAAGAGTTTGGTCATGTCCTTCAATAAGCCAGTGGAACTCTGTCTCCTTCCAGGGCTGTGGAGCCAACCTTCAGGCAGAGTTTATTGGATTTTCACTCTATTACTGATTTTTGGGTAGCTGAGGCTGTGATCTGGTTTTGGCATTGTTCCTCATAAAACCACCATGCTGCTCCATTGGTGGCACACAGTGCTTCATTATTACACTGCTTTGTCTTCATTTCATTTCCAAAGCAGGCTTAATTTGCACTTTGGAATTAACTAATTATTGGACAGTACTCTTCTGTTCTTGATTTAACTTGGTATATTTTTCTTGAGCCATTATTGGTGTCTTTGTAGTCCCTAAATAATAAACTGAGGCTTTCTCTTCCAGGATGTTTGTGCTGTGCTTGTCCAAGCCTGTCAGTTGGTTCCCCTTGATCAGGAACATCTTGTCAGCAAACTCTGCCAGCTTATCCATCACTTACTCAACAGGTATCAGGTAGGAAGAGGTTGGTCATGTCCTTCAATAAGCCAGTGGAACTCTGTCTCCTTCCAGGGCTGTGGAGCCAACCTTCAGGCAGAGTTTATTGGATTTTCACTCTGTTACTGATTTTTGGGTAGCTGAGGCTGTGATCTCGTTTTAGTGTCTCAGTCAGAAGTGATTCACCATGGGAAATAATCTTGGTTTTAGGACACTTGTACAGATTTATCCATTTCTGGTCAGGTGTGATCTTTGCTGGTGTGTGATTTTAACAGCCAGATCACCCGAATCTCTGACCAGTTTCTCAGGGTTTATTGACTGCAGCAGTACAAGATGATGTTTATCTTGACCTTTTCTGTTATGACAGGTGATGGTTGATGAGCAGAGCTTGAATTTCCTTCTCTCCTACTGCATCTCTGCTCTGAGGCAGTGCAGCTCCTGGACACATGTTGAAATTCTGCAAGCCTTAGCAGCTCTTGTTTACAATAATGGGCCAAAGTGTCAGAAGGTGAGCTTACAAACAGAGAGAAAGTAACAACAAAAGTATTTGCACCACTGCTGTTTGTACTTCATTTTTTTCCTGAGAGAAAGAATAAAAAAGTTCTCAAATCGTGTTACCTTTCATGCTAAGATCAGATCCCATTTAAATAGTGGCTGATACTTATGGGAAAGTTGAATTTCAGTTGTATTTATTAATAATTATTATTCCCATGTGGAATACTCTGCACCTGCAGGCTGCAGCTGTTGGGATCACCATTAAATAAGGGCACAGGCTTAGCCTGCAGACCAACCACCCTGTGCTCAGGCAGGAGGACCACGGGGAGCTTGAAATTCCACATAACTCCCAGGCAGGCTCCACTGAAGGTGCTGAAATCCATCCTGTAACCAGACCAGGCTTTTGCTCCGTGCCATTTCAAAGCAGAGGCTCTCGGGTATCAATCCTGTGTGGAGCTCCTTGTTGCTGCAGCTGACAGAGTTTGAAAAGCTGAATCCTCCTGCTGTCAGCAGCTCGTGGCAGCTTGCAAAGCAGCCTCTGCTGTTGGGCTGAGCATGGGGTGGTGATGCTCACAGCTTGGGAGCTGCCAGCTTGTGTGGGCTTGTGGCCCATGGAGTGGCAGCAGCTTGGTGCAGCAGTTGTTCCTAGCTTGGCTTCATGTCTGGGAAGAGAGCATAAACTGGGACTCAGCTGAACCGTGCTCAACTCTGTCCTTTCTTAATGCAAAATAAGAGGACTTAAGGTGTTCATGCTGTTTTTTATGAACATATGTCTCTAGAATCTGAAATTGCAGCTGAGAATTTTTAGGTTTGTTTTACTTCTCGTTATCGTGCTTCGATTTTTGATTTGTAATGAATTAAATCAATTTCACTAAGTCAGGTATGCTCTGCCCGTGATGTTTATCATTGGGTGACCTCTCCTTGTCCTTGTCCCAACTCATGACTGTTTATCATTGGGTGACCTCTCCTTGTCCCAACTCATGATCCTTTCCTTATATTTTCCTTATATTTCCTTACATTTTCTCTCCCCTGCCCATCTGAGGAGCAGTTCTGGTGTGCACCTGGTGTCCGGCCAGGCTCCAGCCACCTCCCATGATTACCCCCCAGCACAGCCCCAGGAGGCTGAGGGAGGAGCACTGACCCCTGATGGCTTTTGTGCTCTGTTTCCAGTACCTCCCAGACCTGCTGGGCAAGGCTGGGCTCCTGCTGCAGCTCAGTGACCCTGCCCAGCCCGACGTGGAGCTCAGGAGGGCGGCCGTGCGCAGCATGGCAAACCTGTGTCTCAGGTGTGTGCAGAGCTTTACCTGGGTGTAAACCTTGAAACTCTCAGTCTTCCAGAAATAATGTTGCAGGGGTTGGTTTGGGGAAGAAAAGAAAAGCTTTGTGCTGTCTGGTTTTCGTGCAGAAGGTTTCCTTTTGTCCTCTGTGTGGTGGAGCTGTCTCCTTTCCATCAGCCATCCATCCATCTGGGGCTCTGCAGGCTAACAGAGGGCTTGGGTGGGACTTTGTGTAACTTTATGAACCTGTGGACAGACTGTAAACCAACCCTGTGTCTCCTCCTGCTCTAATTTTAGTGTGCCTGGGCAGCCATACCTGGATGAGTCCTACAGAAATGTCTGTTTTCAAACTTTCCTAAGTGTTCTGCAGTCTTCAAAAACCACTGATGTGGATGACATCACTTTTTGCATGGTAAGTGTGAGTCTAATTGTCTAAAATACTCTAATTAGGAGGTTGTGCTGCTGGAATATATGGAATTTGGAATGTTATCAATTAATATTTTGCTTTAATAGTCCATAATTTATCATATTACTGTCCCAGTTGAGCAAAACTGTAATTGCCTAGAAAGTTTCTTGAAAGATGTGAACCTGCAGCATTTTGGGAAGGAAAAGTAAGTAATTCTTTATTTTCAGTTGCTGCAAAGTGCACTGAAAGGTGTCCAGTCGCTTCTCAATGGTGGGAAGATGAAACTGATGCAAACTGACCAAATTGGAGCTCTTCTGGCAGTGCTGAAGGTAAATCCTTAAATGCACCTGGAGGAAGAGGCAGCCACTGGGAGGTTCCAGGGCTCTTAAGTGGGAAACAGTAGGAGATGAGCAAGAGGGAGCAGAGAAGCCTGAGCATGGGGGGAAATGGAGTGTGAGATATTAAATAAAAATATACTGAGTTTCTCTCACAGCATCTTCACTACACCTCTCACTGCAGAATGTGAGAGGAAGAGGTGGAAAATGGGGGTTTTTGACCTACTTGGAATTCTTATACGTGTAGATGGATTTCAGACGTTGCATAGCCTCACATATGTGAGAGGCAAGGCCTGGGGGAAGGAGCACAGCTGAAAATGGGTGAATTCAGTAAATCTGTGCATGAGAAAGGGCCAGAACTCTAACCTTTGTGTTCCTGTTGCAGAAATGCATGTTCCATGGGCTGCCAGGCCTGAGCATAGAGGTGCCCACAGTCCTGTACCCTGCTCCTTTACCTCAGTATGATAAAAGGTCACCTGTCAAGCAGGAGCAGTCAGAACCAGCCCCCTCTAAGCAGGCAGGGGTAAGCTGGGCTGATTCTGCAGCCTCTTTGTTGTGTTGTGTCTTTCCTGTCGTGGTCTTGGTGGCTCTTCATGTCCTGAGCATCCGCAACATTTAATTCTTTGCTTCAAAGGTGATGATTATAAATTCTGCACTGAGTAAAATTGCTTTGGGAGCTCAGGTGACAGGAACAAATGGCTCTGCAGGGCTTGGCTTTCCTCTGCTAAGCTCTGTGTAACAATTATTCATCCAGAGCCAAGAATTCCTGGCCTGCAGGCACGGGATTGATGCGTGCAAACTCGCCAAAGCTTTTGATTTTATAAGTCACGTTTTCTCTCCTAACACTTGCACAATTGTTTGACTCTTTCTTAGGGAAGTCAAGTTCATTTAAGACTGATTTCTTGCCTCATCTGTTCTGCTCAATGCTTCTACAGGTTATTTTTTAACGTGTAAATACTTTGGATTACTGATTATCTGAAAGACATTGGAGAAAAGAGGGTTATCTAGTCATGTTGACTTGTTTTTATTTAGGTGCTGAAAAGGAAGGTTAGTTAGTGTTATCTGCTGTAAATCTGTAAAAATACAGAAGTATTTGGTGCTGTTCTTTAATCACTTTTGTGTGAAATATGATTTTTAGCTGAAAGTTTCCTTGGGTATATTTTGCTTTACTGATGAAGAAACCAAAGATTAGTTTTTGAGGCTATTCAGTTATAAACTTTTAACTTAGGTATTACTGAAATTTTGTGCCTGTTGCTAGTAATAAGCAGAATAAAAAAACTCAGATACTAGTGACTGTGTGTAGAGTATTGCAGAGACATGCAACTTCGTTTATGTATTTGTTAAGCACTGACTAAGAAAAATCAATTTTTTTGTCTTAGAGCCGAAGAAAGAAGTGCAAAGGGAAACAGAAGAAGGGAGAGTTTGGGGAAGAAGGAAGAGAAGATTCAGGGGATGCAGGCAACGAGTCGGTGCTGGGAGCAGACATGCTGAAATTGCACCTGGGGGATGTGCAGAGCAGCCCTGGCCTGGAGCCTCGTGTGCCAGATGTGTGTGCTGGGCCAGATGTGTGTGCTGGGCCAGATGTGTGTGCTGGGCCAGATGTGTGTGCTGGGAGGGACCCCCCCAGCTCCCAGCCCTGGAAGGGCCTCAGCAGCAGCGAGTCAGAATATTCTGACACAGAAGGGGGCATCCAGAGCAAAGTGAGGTGAGTGCTGTGCACAAACACGTGGCATCCACAGAACCCTCCCACACCATCCTTTGTTCTTAGTCAAAGCTGCTGAGGGAATCACTTTCCCTTCTGATTTATGAGATGGTGCGGGAAAATTGGAGGGCAGTAATTTGTGTTGCTTTGGAAGTAAATTCGTTCTTCCTCTTCCTGTTCTTGGGCTAAAAGATTTCCTCTCGCAGCCAGCCACTAATACACATGAAAGAGGTGGAGTCCATCCCTTGTCCCTGGTGTTTTCATTAATCTTTTTGTTTGTGTTTAAGGTCTTACCAAGCCAATGTTCGCCAAGGGGCTCTGGCCTGTTTCCTCTCCACTATAAAGTCCATAGAAAAGAGAGTTCTTTATGGCTACTGGTCAGCATTTGTTCCTGATGCCCCTGGTATTGGCAGCCCCCAGTCTGTGTCCCTGATGACCATTGCTCTGAAGGACCCTTCTCCAAAGGTGAGGCACTTCTGAGTACAAAAATTACTTTTTCCCCCCATTAATCTTAGGAGTTGTCTTCTCTGGCCTTCAGTAAGCATTTGGCTACTGCCCAAGAACTAAATAGGAAGTATTGCCTAAGAAGACAAAGGATTGGTTCTGTATTGCCTAAAGAAAAAAAGCTGGTTGTAGTTGAATTTTCTCTTTCTACAGAGGATTTAATATATTTTAAAATTCTCCACCTGCTCAAAGGAACTATTAAAAGGTATCACAAATGTTTTATCATTTCAGACACGTGCCTGTGCCCTTCAAGTCCTCTCAGCCTTCCTGGAAGGTTCTAAGCAGTTCCTGTCTGTGGCTGAAGATGCCAATGACCACAAGAGAGCTTTCACTCCCTTCTCTGTCACCATGGCTTCCAGCATCCGGGAGCTGCACCGCTGCCTGCTGCTGGCCCTGGTGGCTGAGTCCTCCTCTCAGACACTGACACAAATAGTCAAGGTACCTGCCCTGCAGATGTGCCACGGGCTCCCTCTGCTCTCTAGATTATGTCCTGAAGAAAGGCTGCACTGAGTTGCTGTTGAGGAGCAAGGTGGTGGTGGTGACAAACAGATCTTTGTCATCTCACAAGAGTTCACTGTGGTCCTACAGAGTCGAGGCTGCACTGAGTTGCTGTTGAGGAGCAAGGTGGTGGTGGTGACAAACAGATCTTTGTCATTCAAAGATCACTCTGTTTCAATCCCCTGCTGTGGACGGGAGCACCTTCCATTAGTTCCTCAAAATTCCATTCAGAGTCCTGGGGTTTCTTTTCAGCACAGTCCTCTTTTTTTCTGCACTTTTTCAGTCTTTTCGGAGCTGAATGAACCTATAAAATGGTTCTGAAGACTCACATTGACTTTAAAAGTGGAATCCAAATTGACAAATCCTTCCATGGGCCATCAAAATTCCTTGGTCTTTGTGCCACCTCGCAGTAGTTAAATCCTTGTTCTTAGGAGCCAAGTTTGTATCCAGTGTTCCCACAGCAGATAATTGGGGTGCTTTTTTTCAGGTGCCCTCAGATAATGAGCTGCCTGAGTGACCTAAATTACAAATGTAAAAACAGACCTGTTGGAGGCCGGGCTGACATTGTAACCAGCACCTTTCTCTGTTTCAGTGCCTTGCAAACTTGGTTGCCAATGCACCCTACAGCAGATTGAAACCCGGGCTGCTTACCAGGGTGTGGAACCAGATCAAGCCCTACATCTCTCACAAAGGTTTGCATTCTCTACTCTATTCCTTGCCTCCTCTGTGCTCCATAATTCAAAATTTATTAGCAGTGGATGGTTATGTGTGATAATCTGTCTGTTTGAAAACTGCTGAGGGAGGATGCTGGGAGGTTCTAATGGAGTTTTTATTTTGCTTTTTCTTCTCTCCCCATTGTCTCCTGCAGATGTCAACGTTCGAGTTTCCAGCCTCACCCTGTTGGGGGCAATTGTTTCTGTGCAGGCACCTTTGCCAGAGGTGCAGCTGCTGCTGCAGCAGCCCAGCCCCTCGGGGCCCAGCGGCAGCGGCAGCGCAACCCCCGGCCGTGAGCAGAGGAGGAGAGCAGTGCCCTGGGCAGGGCAGAGCCCTCAGGACAGCCCTGCAGGGAGTGCCCCTGCCGAGCCCTGCTGGCTGCTGGGTCTCTGTGTGTCCCTCATCGTCCTGCCCAGGGAGGACTCCTGCTCTGACAGCGACAGCTTCCCGTCCCTGGGCAGCGTCTTCGAGCCGTGTCCCCTGCGCCTGGAGGCCCTGCAGGTGGGAGGGCTGCTCCTGCCTCACACCCAGCTGCCTCCCTCGCTGGCGGCTTCCCTTTGCTCCCTGCTTTCCCAGGGAGGCTGAGGTCTGTGCTGGTGCAGTGGGGCTGAGCTGCTGTGGCTCGAGGAGGAATGTTTTGATGCGTGGCCACGGCGTGGCTGTCCCACTGCGAGTTCATCTGCCTGTCATTTTTTATCCTCTGTGTTTTTTTCTATATTATCTGGGGGTGTGTGCTGGCAGACTGTGAGTCTTCCCCATGCAAACTCCTCCATACAGAATCCAAATTAAAGTTTTGGTGGAAAACAGTGGGGAAGAGCCCTGCAGTCAGAGAACAGTCTGCAAGGAGCTGTGGAGTGACTCAGGGAGTACCTGTGGATGCTGAGGCTTGGCTTTGTTTTAATTCATGTAGCCACAGCAAAGGGTAAGATTTTGTACCCTGCATCCCAAGAAGTCTCACTCTTTTTCTGGAACAGTAAATATTTGTTAAATCCAGCTTTAGAGAAGGCAGCAGCAGTGCTACAGGAGGTACAGAATGTCTTGCTCTCAGTTTTTTTGGCTACAGGAGCCCTCACTTACACTAAATAATTCATGGCCTTGCTACCTGATAGTGCTTCTGTGGCTCTTCTTTGAACAATATAATGGAACAGGGAGGCTTTTAATCAGCTCTAGTATCCCAGAAGTTGTCTGCAAGGTGTATCTGTTACATCAGAGCTCACTACATGGTGCCAGGGTTGATTAGCCCATTAACAGCATTTCAGTGTGTAGCTGGGGTATTTTGGGTAAACAGAAGAAATGCTGAGTGGGATTTTTTTTTGTCTGTGTTTAGGTGTTGGCTCTTCTTGTGAAAGGTTATTTCCCTATGGCTCAGAACTATTTCCTGGGACTTGGAGAAGTGGCTTGCAGATGCATGGAAGAAATGGATCCATCCATTCAGCTTCATGGAGCCAAAGTAAGAGCAGCAGGCATGTCAGTATTGTTTTACCAAGTCAGTTCTGTCTGTCTGTGTGCTTTGCAAGTGCACATGAGTGGTGCTGAATATTCAGAGCATCTGTGAGTGTGATACAGAAATGCAGTACCCTGACTCTGAGAAATGCACCTTCAGCTTCCAGTCTTGAAGTCTCAGCAGAATTTTGTTGCTCTGCTGAGTCACCAGGAAGCTTGGGAAGTGCAAGGACCACAGCACTGGTGCTTCCCTGGCTGAGCATCAGCTGTGGCAGGGACTGGACTCTGTGACCCAGAGATTTCCTCTTTGTGCTGTAGTTTGTTATGCTGGGCTGGAGACTTTATGTAGGAAAGGCTTTTCCTCTAATCCCGCTGCTAGCAGGGACAGAACAGCCCAAACCACTGCTGAATCTTTTATTTCTGTTCCCTGGGTGGGTAGATACAGGTTCTGTAGCTCCATGTCCTTGAGTCATCCCTGATGAAACCCCCCTTGCTTTTTGTTCCCTGCAGCTTCTGGAGGAGCTGGGCACGGGTGTCCTGCAGCAGCACAAGCCTGACTCCCCCACTGCCCCTGAGCAGAGGGTGCCTGTCAGCCTGGTGAGTGTGAGATTGCACTGACTGAGCTCCCTCCCTGCCCTCTGCACAGGCACTGGCACAGAAATCATTGCAGGGAGGCAGGAAGGGCCTGCAGCTTTATGGGTGCCAGTGTGGAGAGTTTCTGGAGGCTTCTGCAGTCACTTAGCACATTGTGGACAGATGTGTTGGTGTTTATTTCTTTTACATGGTTAACCCTGTGTCTTTGCCTCTCCTCTTCCCAGCTCTTGCAGCCTGCTGTAGCTCAGGGAGCTGGAAGAACAGCACTGATTTTATGTGTGTCATCACTGCATAGAACTTTCAGAATTTTGGTGAATTTGCATTGTTAGAGAGCCAGCCTGTATTTTCTGGCTGGTCACAAGTGCAGAGAGAGTGGCCAGAGCCACAATATAAGTGAATTCAGAAAAATTCAGTAGCTGTTTGTTGGCTAAGTCTGCAGAAGCTGAGTAGTATAGGGCTGTTTAAGTCTTCCTTCTGTGAACAGAAGACAAGCTTAAAAATTTCTTTGGCTCATGCTAAGTTTTGAGCCTACAAGACAGGAAATGTGTTCAGTAGCATCAGGTTCCTGTTATTTGCTATGAATGTAAATTGTCAGGCAAAGGAAAACACTCAGCTGTGTGGATTCAGGAGTGGGATTGCAACTCTATTTAATGCAGTTTAAATTTCAGCATATGATGATCATCTTTAAGACAAGAAATTGGGCTTAATTACTGAGTTTAAAAGATAAACCTGGCTGCTTCTCCTGCAGGTTGTGACCTTCTGGACCATGATGTTAAATGGCCCCTTACCTGGCACCCTGCAGAACTCCCCCCATGCCACTCTGCAGACAAGTGCCTGTGATGCCCTGTCCTCTATCTTACCAGAGGCTTTCAGCCTCCTGCAGGTAGGAGAACACTCCTTTAAATGTGCTGCTTTTACCTTTGGGGCTTTGTCCTTGTCCACCAGGTTACAGGAGTGTAAAGCCTTTTAAAATTTGCCAGGGGAAAGTAAAGAAACCTTCCCAGTTTTTTTTTTCTGCCTTCTGAGCATTGTGACTGTTGAAGGCTGGAAAGGGCAATGTTGGAGTAATTAGCCTGTCAGAACAATTAAACCGTGGGTCACAGCAGCTGTTTGGCCCTGCCATGAATACCCAGCCTTGGCAATGATGCACAGGAGATGGAGGACAAGAATTTCATGGCATGAGGGAGGGCTGAGGGATTGTTATTCTGCTGATTAATCCTTTGAAGAGCTAGCTGAGCCAGTAGCCAGGGCCTGATGTTGTGCACCCATTTGCATGTGTGTTTTTTCCCTTTGCAACATGAAATATGCTTTTAAACATGAAAGCCTTGGCAGTGGATCCCCCCTGCATTGTGCAGCTCCTTCTGTGTCACTGTGCCCTTGCTGGGGAGTGCTCTGCCAGATCTCATTTGCCCAGGAATTGCTGGTCCAGCAGTATCTCTGGAATTCTCCAAGTACAGCGTGTACTTCATCCCCCTGTACTTTGATCCCATCCCCTCTGCTGTGCCTGTGGCCAAGTGGGGCCAAGTGAGTGCCCACTCTGACCTTCTGTCATGGGCTGGTGAGCTGACAACCTGCCCAGGCTGAGCTCACCCTGTCCTGGGTAACGAGGGGCACAGAGGGAGGGCAGGCCAGAGCTCTGGGTCAGCTCTGGTGGGCCATTCCTCCAGCTTTGGAGAGAGCTCAGACTCTGATTCCCTTCTTGGTCTTGCCTGACAGCAGAGATCCTGTGTGCTGGAAGCTTTCCTGTTGCCTGGGTGGGCTCCTCAATTCACTCTATCTACAGCACGCTCTGAGGGGGAGCTCCTTCAGGTGTTCAGAGAATTTGTGTGTCCCCGTGGGAATCCGGGAATCAGAGCTCTGCTCAGCCCCCTCCTGCCACTGCTGCTCCTCTGCAGGGTGACAGCAGCTCCTGTGTGTCACCTTGCTGCTTGGCCTGAACCACAGTGAGAACCCCCTGGTGAAAGCTGCTGCTGCCCGTGCCCTGGGAGTGTACATCCTCTTCCCGTGCCTCAGGCAGGTCAGACCAGCCCATCCCTTCTTCTGAGCCATTCTGTATGAACCATAGGATGTGGGACATGGACTTGTTTGCAGTTAATTCAGTTTATTTTACTTTTAGCATATTTATAGTTTTCCTTACTGGCTCCAGACCTGCTCTTGCCTTTGAGAGCAGAATCAGTGCAGCTTTAAGGGAGGTGAAGCAGAAGAGAGAGGGCAAGGAGAGAGGTCAGGGTCTTCCCAGGCTGCCAGGGATGGAAGCTGGAGTGGGTAGGTTGGCACAGAGGAGCTGGGGTGAAGGGAACAGCTCTGCAGTGCTCTGGGGAGTTTGGTGTTGGATCAATCCTTGAGGTCTTTCCAACCTCCAGAATTCTATGATTCTAACAAGTTTTTAATGTGAAGCCTTCAGTTTTGCTTAAAACTAAGAAATAAAGCTTATTTGGAGGAAAAAAAAAAGATTTTTTTTTTCCTACAAAATATCATCTTAGCTTGGCTGAGCTGGAAGATTAGTTTTTATAATGTAACCTTTAAGTGAATGATTTTAATAAAAAAATATGCAGTAGCTGACTTGGGAGTTTAATTCCAAAATATTTTGAAAGAAAATCCTTTACCATAGGCACATGTAATGTGCCAAAGAAGAGAAGATTAGACAGGCAGCTCAACAGGGAGTTTGGAGAAGCAATTAGTTTAAGAGTGGGATTTGGTGGGTATAAGGTTGGCAGTCCATGTAATTATGTTAAAATCCAAAGTAACTAAATCACCAGTGGAATTAAATAATCCATAGAAGCTTTTCAGCAGCAGCCACCCCAGCGTGGTGGGTTGGTCAGCATTCAGGCTTGGCCTGTTAATTAAAGGTCAGGCAAAGCTGCAGACAGCACCCTGAGCTCATTAGAAGGTGTCACCTGGAAGAGTAAATGAACAGAGCTGGTCTCTCCCTCATTTTCCCTGGAAAAAGCAGAGTGTGTTACTAAGAAAATCACCTGTGTTTTGAGACCTGTGTGACTCTGCAGCAGTTTCTGCTTTGACAGGATGTGATGTTTGTGGCAGACACAGCAAATGCCATCCTGAATTCCCTCCATGACAAGTCTCCCAACGTCCGTGCCAAGGCAGCCTGGTCCCTGGGCAACCTGACAGACACCCTGATCATCAACATGTATGTGACACAGCCCCCTGTCCCCAAGGGTCCCACGGGCCAGGCTAGGGGTCTGCCAGAGGGCACAGCTCCAGACTGAGCCAGGAGAGCTCCAGGGTGGGCTCCAGGAGGGATTTCCTATGGAAGGGGTGCTCAGGCACTGGGAGGGGCTGCCCAGGGGGGTTTGGAGCCCCCATCCCCTCCAAGGAGTGACTGGAGGTGGCACTCAGTGCTCTGGGCTGGGGACAAGGTGGGGGAGCAGGCACAGCCTGGACTCGATGCTCTGCAAGGGCTTTTCCAACCAAAATGATTCTGTGATCCTTAACATTAAAAAAGCTGAATTTTGGCTTGGATCCTTCTTTTTAACCACCCTCTGCCTGTGGGTCTGCCAGTGTGGGACACTGTGTGAGCATCCTGTATCCATCTGGGAACACCTTCCACTATCCCAGCTTGCTCCTAGCCCTGCCCAGCCCTGGACATTTCCATTTCCACCCTCACAGGGATCAGGTTTTTTCTTACATTAGCTCAAAACCTACTCAGTTTGAAGCCATTCCCCCTTGTCGCTCTAAGGAGACACTCTTTAAAACTTTTCACTTTTCAGTTTTCCATTTATTGTGTGTTGCTTGGTGTAATTACATGGTTTACTTTCAACATAGCACAAGTAAAATTAATAAATATTTAACCCTTCCTCAAGCCAGAGACTGAGGGAAGCCTAACCTACTGTTACATTTTTAACAGGAAAATAGTTATCATATATTCCTGCTGCAGAATTGCCCCTGAGCAATTCCTTGCCCTCTGTTTTTTATTACAGATTTAACCATTGCTAACCAGCTTTCTTGCATTGATAGTTTGGTTTTAAATTAATAAACGTAGTGGTCACATGCAGAAAGGTCTGCCTTACATATTAGCCCTCTAAAGAGTGAAGGTTGTTCATGGGCTTTATAAAGGGTGCTGTCACATCTGTGGGGATGGAGCAGCCCAGCTGGGTGCTCACAGCCTGGTTCTCTGCCAGGGAAACCATGGGACCCAGCTTCCAGGAGGAGCTTTCTGATCTGCTGCTGCTGAAATTGCTGCGCTCTGCCACGGAAGCATCCAAGGACAGGGACAAGGTAAGGCTGGGGGGAAGGAGGGTGGCTTGGTGGAGTTAAATCCTGCATTAGAGGCAAAAGGAAAAAGGCACCAGTTACTTTAGGTCTCTCTGCCCCAGCGCTGGAGGGAGCTGCAGCTCAGATCCTCCCTGGGGGCTGCTCTTCAGAGGGCTCCTGCTTTGTTTGCACTGCAGGGAATTTGGCTGTGCTTCTCCACAGTGCAGGGGGTTTGGTTTGCTTTGTGGCCATTTGCAGAGAGTGATCTTTCTGGTGGCACTGAGGGAGACCCGGTGTGATTCCAGCTGTGCCCCTTGCTGCCTCTGAGCTGATCCCACAGCGGGCTTGAAATCAAACCCGGAACGCGGAGAGGTTTCTGTGTGTTCCAGGTGAAGAGCAACGCTGTCCGTGCCCTTGGGAACGTGCTGCATTTCCTGCAGCCCTGCCACGTGGCCAACCCCAGGTTCAGGGAGGCCACCGAGGAGGCCCTGCAGGCCCTGGTGGCCACGGTGGGCAGCGAGGCCACCATGAAGGTGCGCTGGAACGCGTGCTACGCGCTGGGCAACGTCTTCAAGAACCCTGCCCTGCCTCTGGGTGAGCCTGCTGCCCTGCCCGGCCTGCCCTGCTCCCGTGGGGCTGGGCACACCAGCATCTCTGCTGCCAGGGGTGGAGGAGAAGGGGGGAAGCCAGCGGGGCTGAGTGTGGCTGTCACAGCTTTGCCAGGGCTCTTCCCAGTGGAGCTCAGCTCCTGCCAGTGCCAGGGCAGGGGTAGCTGCTGTGTTCAGCTGGATCTGTCAGGAAACAGTGTGGGGGTGGGATTGTAGGTGTGAATAAATGCCAAGTGTGCTCTTGTAAAATTTCAGGAGATTAACTGTTTTAACTAATATTTTGTTTCATAACCCTTGATTCTCTCATTTAAACCACAACAATTTCAATAAATGTCAGCCCATTAAATATTCAGGAGACATTTATAGTTTTGCATATTTTGGCTGATTGAAAAAGGAGGTTTTTTGGGTTTTTTTTTTTTCAGGAGAGGCTCCTTGGGCCAGGCAAGCTTTCAGTGCCCTTTCCTCCGTAGTCAAGTCCTGCAAGAACTTCAAGGTGCGGATCAAGTCAGCCATGGCCCTGGCCATCCCCAGCCACAGGGAATGCTACGGCTCCACGGAGCAGTTCTGCCAGATCTGGAGTGCCCTGGTGGTGGCCCTGCAGAGGAGCGAGGACACCGAGGACTTCCTGGAGTTCAAGTACAGCTCGAGCCTCAGGACGCAGATCTGCCGGGCCCTGCTGCACCTGCTGCAGCTGGCCAGCAGCACAGACCTGCCCCTCATCGGGGGCAGCCTCCTGCAGCACGGCCAGGCCATCCGGCCCCACGTGCTGCACTACCTGAGCTGCTCGGGGGAGCAGGGCGAGGCGGGGGCGCCCGCGGAGCCGGGCGAGAGGGAGAGGGGGCTGCACGGAGCCATCCAGCACCTCAGCAGCATCGAGGCACAGCTGCAGGGCAAGGCCAGGCTCAGAGTGTCCCTGTACCTGGAGGATGTCCTCACACACCACACCAATGCCACAGCGACAGAAGCCTGAAGGAAATGTCCATTTCTGTGACCAAATCTTCCACGGGGAGCACAGAGCTGTGTTCTCTTGCACAGGACATCCAGAGGAAAAGTTTCCTGCTGCTGATATTAAGGATTTCATTTGAGACTTTGTTAATAATGCCTCTAGGACTTCTTTTTTTATATTATTACTGTTTTTATTGTTGTTTTTGGGGAACTCTGCCCTCCCTGGGGCTGGTTTGTGCACTTTGCTGTCACAGCGTCGCCACTTGGAAAACAAACACCTTTTCCTCCTCTGTGTGTTTTATAAAGCTGCCTGTTCCCTCAGCTTATCTCAAAGCATTTTGTTCCTATTGCTGCAGGATCCAGAATCGTGTTTGTAAAGCAGGGGGCTGGAAGAATTTTGTTTTTCAGAGCACTGCAAATGTTGTCACCCTTGTGTACCTGCAATAAACCCAAATATGCCAATATTTGAAGAATAGCTGAGAGCAAACAGCCTTTGCCTTTAGCTGTCTGTGTTCCCAGTGCTGTACACCTGGCCTGAGCCTCCCTGCTGCCTTCACTCATCCTGTCTTCCAAAAAAAATCAGAATTCCTTCTTTCCAGGTGGATGGTACTGTGCTGCCTCAGCCATAAATTCAAAGTAGGTTCTCCAAGGCTGGAATTTTGTGTCTCCAGGCACCTCTGTGGGAGGTGCAGTGGTGTTCTAACAGCACATGGATTAGTTTGTGGTTCTGGAGTTCTGTCCCCTTCCATTCCTTCCCGCTGCTGTTACTTACTCTGTGTTTGCTCTGTGCTTGCTCTGCTGATAGCTGGGGGAGTGCTGAGCTCTCTGATGTTGCTGGGGACAAATCAGCACCTCCAGGAATGAGCAGGGCTCTGGGGCTCTCAGAGTTAAGTGCCTGCTGTCCTAACCCTGGGCTGGATGTTTGAACAGGGCTCAGGGCAAGCCCTGCCTGTCGTAAAACCTCTGGGGGATACAAAATTCATCTGCTTTGTTCTTCCACCCTGGCCGCTGGTTTCAGCAGGCCTCAAGTGCTGAGAGAATCCAAAACTTCCTGGAGCAGTGGGGCCTTTTCCAGGGGATGGATGGATGGATGGATGGATGGATGGATGGATGGATGGATGGATGGATGGATGGATGGATGGAGCCAGTCCTGTGCCAGGGGTGTCTCCTGCTGTCCCAGCCCTTTGTGTGGTCAGGCTGGGAGCCCTGGGATGGAGGCAGAGCTGAGCATCCCTGCTGGGCCTGTCCTGGCTCTGCTTCAAGTCACACATTTGCACTTCAGCTTCACTTGCTCCTTTCCTCTGCCTGCAGCTGTAGCTGTAGCTGATCCCATCTTTGAGCTCCCAACCTGAACCAAGCCTGTGTTTCTCCACTGCCTTGGGGAGAAATCTGTCCCACAACCACTGAAAGAAAGCACAACTTTGCCTGGATTTCTTTCCCAAAGTTGCTGAGATCTCCAGAGCTGTCTCCATCCTGTCCTAGCAGGGATGGTGGGACAGCTGGCACTGTGGTGCTGAGGCAGCTGTGGCACTGGGAGCAGGGTGTGCCTGAGCTGATGTGCTCCAGCAGCCCCATCCCCTGTCAGGCTGATCTCTGAACACAGAAATCCCTGCAGATGGGAGCTGCTGTTACTCCCAACCCTCTGGGGACAGAGGGCTGTGCCCTGGCGTGCCCTGTGCCACCCCTCGGTGCCACTGAGAGCCACAGGGCTGGCTGCAGCCTCCATGGGGGGGACACAGGGGCCGGGGAAAGGCAGCACCTTCCCCACCCTGGCCAAGGTTTTATTGTACTGCCTCTTTATTGTGGTGTTTACAAGCCAGGCCCTTTATAGGTTTTCCTATGAATAGTTCCAAGGAGAAGGTAATTACCTTATCACATGCAGGATGATTTATAGCCAAGGTGGCAAGGGACATTCAGCTCCACATCGGCTCCGTTTGAAAGACAATCCGCCCGTTCTTCCGCGGGGTCACTGGGTGGGGAAAACAAAAGGGCTTTAGTGCCCGGCGCGGGATGGCTCCAGCGCCCAGCAGCCCCGGGGACAGTTCCCTGGGCTTGTCGTGCCCTCCTGCAGCCCCGCGGTGCCACCCGCGGCGGTGGCAGTGCCCGGGGCGGGCAGCAAGGAGCGGCCGCAGCGGGTCACTGTTAAACACCCGAGCTACTTGGAGGGGGAGTTTAATTTTTAAATTGACTTCCCCTTCCTTCCAACCACCGTGTCTGTGAGCGGGGGGTGCTCCAGCGCTCACCCCCGGCTGCTGCTCCGGAGCATCCCCGGGCAGCCCGGGGCCACGAGGTGGCACCACGACCCCGGCGACAGCGGCGACAGCGGCGACAGCGGCGGCTGCGCTGCCCCTTTTCTCCGTCCCCTCGTGGGGTCCTGCTTGTCCCCTGGGTCCCCGCCAGGACACGGTGCCACCAGCCCCGGGTGGCGCAGACGGAGCTCTCCCCCGCCGGTGGCTTTGTCCCCGGGGTGTCACTGCGGTGCCGGTGACATGGGCCCGTGAGCGATGGGCTGGCGGAGGCAGGGCTGACTTCCAGTGGCGGGGTCAAAGGGAAGGCATGATCCTCGGTTCATGCCTGCTGTCTGTGCCATAAAGGATGGCCCCGCGCTGCCCCGCAGGCCGGCCCTCCCCGGACCCGCTAATTCGGTGATTTTTATCCTGTTCTCCTCCTCTCCCCTCCCTGCGGCTCCGGGGCGCTGATGGATGGAGCGGCTCCGAGGGGATTTGGGCACTGCCCGACCCTGGTGGTGACCCTGGCTGTCACCACCTCCTCCCGGGGCTGGATCCTGTTCAGGAGGGATCCCGGCAGGAAGGGTGGGCAGGGAGGGGAGCAGAGTGGGAGAAAACCGTGGGCACCGCAGCGCCAGGTGGGGATGGGGACAGAGGGGGCTTGGAGAGCAGGATTGTCCCTGGGGCCATGGCTCCCTGTGCCACCCCCGGGAGAAGGGAGCCCACGCTGCTCCGGGGGGGTCCTCTGGCTCCCCGGGAGCCCAGACTGGTATTTCAGTCTAGACGTGCTGGTATTTTTTCAGTCCAGCAGATTTCCTTGATGGGCCAGCGCTGGAGCAGGGGCACGCTCGGCACGCTGGCAGCTGCAGGGTGGGGGGTTCCCTGGGGGCACGGGGGGCAGGCAGCCTCCCCAGTCCCCGCTCCTGGGGCAGCAGGAGAAACGTTTGCACTGGAATGGGAGGGAAAACCCTGTGGAACTTGAAATTTGCTCATAAACCCGGGCTGGCCGGGTGGGAGGCTTGCCACATCTTGCTCCAGCGCTGGCCCACGTGCACAGAGCTGCGATGGGCCGGGTGATTCAACAACCACCCTGCTCCTGCTGCCCCTGTGAGCTGGGTAAATGTTTTGGGGGGCACCCAGCTACTACAAAAACCTACTACAGTGCTGCTGTGCCTGGGCTCAGTCCCCTCATTCTGTCACCGCTGGGGTGACGCTTTCACCAGCAGCCTGCCCAGGCAATGCCACCCGTGCCACGGGGACCCATCCCAGGGACAAAGGCAGCTTTGAGGGCCCCGGCCGTGCCTGGGCGGCCTCGGGGATGTGTGAAATTCGGCTTTGGCCCAGCTCCTTCCTGGAGCGGAACTGTTCTCAGCGAAACCGTCCCCACCGCCGCCCTAATGGCTTTTCTCTGTGCGCCCGCATTAATGAACGCGAGGCCCAGCCTAATCGGGGGGAAGCCATGCAAGTAATTGCTTGAATTTTTAATTCGGGGTTATGATAGGGGAATCAAAGTCACACGGCAGCCGCTGAGGCCGCCCGCGGCTCCGCACCATTGACTCCCGCAATTTGCTTTTGATTTTTGCCCTCCCGGCTCCCCCCACGGCCCGCTGGGGACCCCGCTGGGGGCTGGACCCTCCCAGGGAGGGCACCAGGGCAGGGAAATGTGCTTGGAGTGGGGGTCTCACCTGCTGCAGGGGCTGGGGTGAGCTGGGCTGTGCCCGTGGGGGGCTCTAGCCACAGGTGGGAAGTTGCTGCCAGCCTCCAACAGCATTTCCTTGTGGAGAGCTGGGTTTTACTTTTCTTGGGACCTTTTGAATTTCTCTGGATCCGTTGTGGCAGCTCTTGCCCTCAGCCTGGGGAGCCACCACTGTCACACGAAGGGGCAAGTGGCACAGACACCGGTGGCACGTGGGGTGTGGGGCTGGCAGGTTTCGGGTTGGGCCTCCCTGAAGTGCCACTGAAGCTGCCCCAAATTTGGGACCCCTGTCCTCAGGGAGCTCCTCCAGCCCCGAGCATCCCCTGGGCCTTGGCAGCGGCCACGCCGCTTTTGTTTTCCCAGAAAACAACCCCACCTCCGCGCCCGTTCCAGCTCGCTTCCCTCCGCTTTGGCTCAAAATTCATAAAGAGTCAGAGGACGCGCGGCAAAGCAGAATGGCATCTGTGCAATGCCTGCCCCTGTGGGGACACGGCGGCCAGCAGGGCCACCCTGCCCGCCACCGGGCTGGGGGTGCAGCGGGGGGCCCGGGCAGTGCCACCCTGGCCAGCGGGCACAGCCGGGCCTGGGACGGTGCCCGCGGGCACGGGGCAGCCCGGCCCTGCCCGGGGACCCTGTGCCCGCCCAGCTGTGCCCCGTGACCCCGTGTTTGGGGCTCGGGCCGCTGTTGTGGTGTTCCTTGTGCCGCGATCCCACGGGCAGATAGCATTGTTTGCCCTGACACGTAAGCCGGTGACAACCTGGAGAGCTCTGGCATGGATTGCGAGCGCTCTCCCGGCCTGCCCTGCTCCCAGCGCCTTTTTATAGCCCAGCAGAACTTGTTTTGCCGCGGCAGCCAAGCAGAACCCGAGCGCGAGCTGGAGCTGAGGGGGACCTGAGCAGCTGGGTCACGTCCGCACCCCTGAGCCCCAGCAGCCCCGCGCGGGGTCCCTGCTCCCCAGGGCGCCCAGCCCTGCCCTCCCCTCTGCTCAGCGCACGGAGAGGTTGAGGGAAGCCCCCAGGCTCGGAAAATGAGGGGTCTGGGGTTTTGGGGGGGCCCGGAGTGGGGGCATACTGCTGGGGAGGGGATGTGGTGGGAAGGCCACCAGTGCACAAGGACACATTGTCATGGCCACGGGCAGGGGACAAGCTGAGGTGGTCCTGAGCCCACTGCCTGTCCCCTGGCACAGCAAAGGGACACCAAACACCCCCAGAGGGGTCCCAGCTGCAGGTGAGGGGCCAGCAGCCCCCCTGTGCCCCCCCCAGAGCAGCAGAGCCTCGGCAGGACGGGAGGTGAAGACGGATTATGAAAGTGTTTCTTTGCTTTGCTTTTGAGAAAGGAGAACTTCAAAGGGGCCATTTATCACCAGACAAAGAGAGTCGCGAGTTATTTGCAAAGTGTAGGGGAGAAACATTCATTACCAGCGTGACAGACACTGCTGCTGCTGGGTGTCCTCCTGCCCACCCTGTCTCTGTCCCAGCAGGTCCTGGGTGCCTCCTGTCCCCCACGGGCCAGCCCCAGCTCCTGTCTCCTCCTGTGCCA